GGACTTCCACAAAGCTCTTGGACCGACCTACGCTGAACAAGAAGGCCTTCGGTTCACCAGCAAGCTCCACTGCGGGGTACGTGGCTTCGACGATGCCAATTCAACATGTCATATCATGTACATCGCATGAGGAAGCGGCAATAACCCTAGATGGCTTGCTGACAAGGCGCCCGCGCTTTCTTGGAAAGCGAGTCAGCCACCACATCACTGATGTTGCCTCCAAGCATTTAAGCTTCACCATATTCAAAACGGGGCTTCGTTTGTAGCATGCTCACAGGCGGAGACTCCTGCATCCTGGATGGCTGACCCTTCTTCCCCTGGCCCAAAGCCCCGAGGATTGCCGATCCGGTGAACCACAGGCCCATGGTAGTCAAGTGGCGGTGAAAGGAAGACATGCCCTTCGGGACGTCTTTCCAAACCTGACCGAGTTCAGGTCAAGATTCGGGCTCTAGGGTTTGCCTTAGTTCCTTCAAGTGTTGCTTGACCCGAACACTTGCCAACCTGTCCAATTTGCAAAGTAGACCCTGGTGACGTTGGTGAGTGTCTGCTTCTAATCTTCACCAGGCTCCATAAGCCCCAAGAGCCAAGTGAACTGTCGCATTGCAACCCAGTGGCTGGCTGCTGTACATGAACCTGTCAGCAGACAGTGCCGAGCATGTGTGATTCAGAGCTTCTCTGCGAGTCCGCAGGTGGGGGCCTTTCGAAAAATAACGAGTCCATACTCTTGAGCCAAGCAAGTAGCAGGATACTGCAGAGACTTGGTGAGCACGAGGACCCTCCCAAAAGGGGCCAGTTCATCCCTGAATAATATGAGACATTCCATGTAAGCTTCGGGTGCTTCAGGCTGGAGGCTGAATGTCAGGTTGTGAAGACATCATGTAGGAGCCTTAATGATTAGAATAGGGTGTTGGGGCCCACTATANNATCATCAGGAACCCCCAAAATAGTATCGCCTGTGAACGAAGTGACGCTTACTTCCGGAGTTGCCAGCGGCTCCCGCTTGGTGCTGGCAGAAAGCCAGCAAAGCCTGATGGAAGCCCTCGACAATTTAATAACAGCCGGGTAGCTGCGCCAGGTTTCGTGTAGATGGGGCAGGTCTCAAAAATCCACGTGTTCTCGGTCGGATGTCAGATCGGGATGCTTTGAGGCTTTGAGGTGATGGGCCTTAGTTTGCGAGTTGGAGGTACAGCTGCTTTCACGTGGATAATTCGAAACTATGGCGAGAGGGTCTCGTTCGTTTACAACTTTCTCCGCATAGTCGCCGTCTGGTTTGTGACAATATAGGTAGCAGGAGCAGCTGCAGCGAGCACTCTAACGGTCCGGTGCTCGGTGCAGAGGCAAAGGAAATCCGACCCTGGCAGCATTGCGCATTCCTCCCCCCGGGCCTAGAACTCTTAGAAGGCTCCGATGCTCTGCTTACTCTGGTTAAGCTCCACCACAAAGGCTATGCAAGTATGGTAGTTACGACTCTTACGACCCTTTGCATATCCGCAATGACCCGTGACGGAATGCTGACGGACGAAGCCCAGTTGCCTAGTAACATCCCAAGCGTTTCCCAAAGAGCCCAATACCCCTTAA